GTGCCGTGCGGCTTTCTCTGATTTCATATATAATTAAATTAATTTAGTCTAAGAGCGTTACAATGTTGTATTATGCATGAACCATTCATAGTACACATACATTGTTATTGGTCACGTTTGAGTACGTACTCATTCCGGGACGGATCCAGCTGCGGGGCGGCGCAGGGCTCTAGCCCCTCGTGCCGCCGCCGGACCCATTGAGCCTTCCCTACAATTTTTTGTCATGGATACACCGAGGCCGAAGTTGTCTACAGATTTAAGAAGCCCTCTTAACATTTATTCTGGATCCGTCCCTGGTTTCAAATACACAATACATGACACCGTGTTATTTTTTATTATTCTCAATTTACTATTTATCTTCGTGTAATATATTTGCGCAAAACATGGATGAAGGCACGGTAAAGTATTTTCTATAGTAGACTTAGGGGGTGTTTAGGACTGCTCCGCTCCACGTTTTCTTACTCTGCTTCACGTTTTTTAGCTAAACGGTTTCGGCTACACGCACTCTGTTCGAGAAAAAAAAAGGTGCTCCACAAACTCCAGTTTTTTGTGAAACTGCTCCACGGTGGAGTTTGTGGAGCAATGGCAAACACCCCATTAATCAGGGATGTTTTGTTTTCACTTTACTCAACTTGGTAACTAGCACGGGATGGCAGCACGGCCCTTTGGCTATGATGAACTTGTTATACTGCTTTGCCTTACAATGCAACAAATCCCACCAGAACATGATTCCATTAACGTTGTCACTCCCGAGACTGAACAATCTAGGGTATAATAAGATAAGTTTTATTCCTAATCAAAACTACATCAATAATATGGTGGTAAATCTCTCCTCAAGGTTCAAAGGAATATTATATTTATTATTTGTTCTCTTCTCAAGTTTTTCTTCCTCTCTTTTTGGTGTATTTATGGACATGCCACAATCTAGCCTTTATGCTGGGGCTACTGTTTTTTTGCCTAAAATCAGGGCTCCGCTAGCTCCTAATTCTCGTTATGTAAATCGAATCTTAATGAAAGCTAGGTGGGGAAGCTCTTCCCTCCGTAGTTCCTATTAAAAAATATTTATTATTTATTTTTATATTAGGTATTAAATAAATATAAAAAAGGCAGTGATAGAAATACAGGGTAATAAATAGATACTTCGTGTAAAGAAAAGCACTGAGGATTTTTGGGTACATTAGTAACGAAGCAAAATGACATGAAAATCTGGAGGTGGACAGCTGGCAAGGGTTCCAGTTCCACCAGATGGACCTCGCCGCCGGGCCGCCCTGCGCGTTCCTGCCGCCCGACCTGTTCATGGCTGTCGCGGAGTGCCACGTCGACGCGTTCGAGCAGATCTGCCACTCCGTCGATTGATCAAACGGCTTACGACGCACAGCATGGTTTCGCTTGCGTTCACTAGCTTCATTGTGATGATTGCAGGGCCATACCTAAAAATTTGAGACCTGGTGCAAAACTCAAACTGAGGCCTTATATCTGAAATATAGCAATAGCCAAAATATTGTTCTAAATCATTACAACCAGCTGGTATGCTGGCGAGCGGCCAGTTGACAAGTTCGGTTGCACGCCCAGAAAAACACCCACATGAGCACTATAGAGCTATTAACACTCTCTTCTCTCTTGCACTTGCACTTCTCTCTCTCCCCTCCCCCTCTCCTCTCTCTCCTTTGTTGTGTTCTATACATCAGAGTCTGGACTCCTACAAGCGCAATACAATGACGGGAGCCTACACACACACACACTAAAGATTCAAGGGCGAAAAAATTGTGTTCTATGGCTACTACCACGAGTTCGCTTGGAGCTCTAGTAGTGCATGCAAGGAAGCAAAGTATGCCGGCATGTTTGTCGGCACCTTTGAACCACTGCATCTCAAAACACTCAGGCGAGAGACACCATGACAGAATATGCAATCACTGTCGTGTATGATGGAGCCGGCAGTGATTACTCTTCGTTGACGGGTCGTAATCCTAGAATTTGAACAAATATTGGGAACTCTACTTAATCGACGATGAAGGCTCCTATCGCTGTTGGGTAGAGCCACAGATCGACAATGATATATCACTACTGGATTGAGCGACAGACTGGTAGTGATATCACTATAGGTTTAGGGTTTGATCTGACAGCAAAATGAAGACATCGTTGCTAGGTTGTATATTGACCCAACAGTGTTCGGTGCCATTGAGTCCACCAAACCACCGATTACTTTCTTAACCACCATTGGATCCACCTACTGACAAGGACGAGGTCCTGATCTTCCTTCAGGAGATAACTATTGATTTGGTGGAGCCATGGCACACCGATCCGACTTCAGATCATAAAGACCTGAATCCTACAACCTTAGCACCACCGTTTCATTCTTCCTTAGGCTAGCCAATTGCTTCTTGCTTAGGGGAATTAAAAGTAGAGAGAGTGAGATCCTCTTGCTTTAATCTTCTACTTTAAGAGGGAGGATGAAGGGTGGAGGCTAGTCTTCATTTCTATAGATGAATTCATGGTTACTATGGAGTAAGAAATCGAGTTGAAATCATCCCCTTTATCTCCTCTCTAGTGTGCCCCCCAAACTTCTCTTTTTGTGGATTTTTGAAGCTAATTTTAAGAGTTTTTCCTTCTACTATGTTGGCTGGTTTGTAGTCGATTTTAGAGTGTTTGGGACCCTTGGAACTTGATCAAATCATGGCTTGAAGCCCAGCACCTTTTTCCAAGTTTTCAAACCCCAAAACCTCTCCTTTCAAGCTTCTTTTTGTGATTTTGGTGGACATCTTTGATCTGAAGGTTTTGGGTTGATCTTGATTGTTATTTAGGTTTTATGAGGCCTTGAGAACTTATCTATGCACTATATTTTACACAGATTTCTCACGAGCACCTAGAAATTAGCTTTTTTAGAATTCTTGATAAAACCCTATTTTGACAGAGGGATTTTGAAATTCCTATTCAAGTTTTGATGTTTTTTACAACACCCTTTGGGGATATCTTCACTATGCTCTAGGGAAGGTGTGTGCAAAGTTTCAGAATGTTAGGAGATAGTTTGATCAGGTTTTAGTATTTTTTTCATCTTGTTTTGGAGGCTGTTTTCTAGATTGTCTCATAATTCCAACCATATCTCGGAACTCCCGACCTCAAGCCTCAGACATTACCTACGCAAGTCTGAACTTCCGACCCTGTGTCAAAACTTCCAACCCCAACCTCTGACCTTAGTCTGTTAAGTGTTTGTTTTCACATTTGCTTTGTTCTTTAGCTTTTCCAGCTTTGTACTTAAGTTCAGTAGCCTCATCATGACTATAGGAACTTAAGTTGGCTGAGAATGAAAGAGTTTTTGGGATATTTAAGAAATAGGCCAAATTTCTTCATTCGACGAAGAAATTGTTTTGGCTCCCATCCCTCCTGGTCATCTCTTCGGTCCATCAGTTTGAACTTTACTTGGAAATACTTTCTTATGATCCAATTTTTCGTACCACAAATTAAATGATTGATTAGGAGATAGAACAAAGAAACGGTTGCGCAGGGCAAAAGGTAGAAGGATAAGGTGCGTTGCTTCCTCTGATACAGAAGAATAAACCATCTGATTCTCTCTTGACTCATCTATTTTATATACTAATCCAGTTAAGTATGTATATGCATTTAGATAAAATTTTAGGGTCCCTAATTTTTTGTGACATGTGTCATCGCACCCCACTTGTGCTCACATTGTACGGGCCATTACAAAGGGAATCTTATAATGGCATGAATCCAATTTACCCATGCATGTATCATCTCAACAGTTTTCAACAATAGCTTATTACAAAGGGAATCTTATATTATATTGTACAAGTGATTTTCATAAAATGAGAGTGTATAAAATTTTTAGTGGGATTTCCTTTTGAGGGAGGTTTTTTAGAGGTTGATGGCCAAAGTTCAAGAAAGGGTTAATTGGCATTATAATTTTCGATGTTTGGAGAAATGCCATTACTATTCGTCTATTTTGAAGCATGCCATTATAATTCTTCGTTTCCCATTAAAATGCCACTGAATACGTATGGAAACAGCTTGGGCCGAGCTGCAGGCATATACGAAGACGTATACTTCATCTCCTCTGTCACTGACACGAGGGCTCCACATGTCATCTTCTTCTTCCCCTTCTCCTCGTCTCTCTCCATCCCGACGACGCGGCCACGGCCACGGCGAGCAGCAGCACGCCGGCAGCCCGCGAGCAGCAGCAGCATGCGGCCGAACAGCAGCAGCAGCACGCCGGCAGCAGCACGCGGCCGAGCAAGCGGGCGAACAGCAGCACGTCGGTCAGGCTATGAGCTCCGCGTCGGCCGCGTCCTCGGCGCCGCCCGGGCAGTGAGCTCCGCACCGGCCGCGTCCTGCCGCTCGGCTGTGGCGCTCCCGTCGCCGGCTGCTCGCCCGCGGCGCGCGGGGTCACTACAGCGGCTCGTCGGCTCGCCCATAAGCCCGCAGCCGCCGCCGCCGGCAGCGCCCGCCGTGGCTGCGTCGGGATGGAGAGAGAGAGAGCCGGAGAGAGAGATGAGGAGAGGAGGAGGAAGATGACATGTGGGGCCCACATGTCAGTGACAGGGAGATGAAGTATACGTCTTCATATACGCCTACAGCTAGGCCCAGGCTGTGTCCATACGTATTCAGTGGTATTTTTGTGGGAAACGAAGAATTGTAATGGCATGCTTGAAAATAGGCGAATAGTAATGGCGTTTTCGATATATGCATTGAGGCATAATAAGCTTCATCTTACACGGGGTGAAGGGGACAACTCTCATGTCAACTAAAAGGTAAAGACAGCAATTTACAGCCTAACTGCTATGTGCAATTTATTACTCCGTACTATACACAGTTCGGTGCGAGCTTCATAAAACACAGCACGCCCAAATCACTTTGTCAGATCAACCACCATTTGCCGTTAGCGAGAGAAAAATCTCTGGAGGAAAAGGGAAAATGAAGCCTCCATATTGGTGAAAACTTCGCGACACCATTAACATCCAACTGCATGGTGCCCTCTGAAACAAGACCTAAGGTTCTTCTCTTTTCAGACGCAATTTAAAGTTCTTCTCCAAAAATGCCAAGGTTTCCGCATAAGAAGGATCGTTCTTGTTAACTGGCTTACATGAATTTATATGATCAGTGGACGGTAGAACCTGCAGAGACATAAAAAGAACATAACGGTAATCACTTGAAATTTGCAAAAATTAGAACCAATGAAATTATGGAAGCATACAAGGAACAAAAATGGTGGAAAAATTGTGGAAAGCGTCCATATGGCTTAGTAGCCTATAAAAAAAAGGAACGTACCCAGTGCAGAGAGCTCCCACTCTGTGCGGGGTCTAGGAAAGGGTGGTAGCCTATGTAATTAAAAAAAATCGAAGAAGCCTTGATTCTTCCAGTGCTATCCCAAAACTAGTTTTGACTATCAACATAAGTTAACATTGACATAATCAGGATTAATATTGAACTGCATCACATGTGATGATATGTTAAGGCCCTTACGATAATAAGAATTCCATAATTTGCAAAACAACATCAATAATTCCATGTGCAATGAATTGTGAAATATACTTACGACAAGCTCCCCAAAGCCTGGGTATGCAGATTCAATTGGCACTATCTCCATACGAAGTGCCCAACCACCATATCCTTCAACAATCGGTGTGACCTGGGTCTGTCATGGAACCAATTATTAACATATATAACTTAGTATTATGGAAGTGGAACTTGGAAGTATGAATGTGACTACCTCACTAAAACTAAGAACATCAAGAAATCCTTTGTTGTGGCGTTGACGCACAAAATCGTTCAGTTCAACTAGTCTTGGAGATCCACTTCTTAACTCCCCAATCTATTGAAATTAAATGTCAGAACATATAGAGAAGACGAAAACTATCAATTTGTAAGCAAGCTTATCAAATGAGGAATGGAAGATCATACCGAAGGAGCAGGACCAAACACTAAACCCATACGCCATGGCATGTCTGCAAGTTTACTGCCAAAATGCGGACAACTATAGAAAACCTGTGATGCAGAAATAGTTAGATCGTATTCACAGGCACACAGCAACAACAAGAAGAAGTTATTTCAGGAACTTGTCATAGTTATTCAGCTTTGCTTGATATAAAAGCTAATTAACCACCAGTCCTCCCATGCTGCAAGTATGAAAATGAGGAGAAATCAAGTCATAAGTTATTTCAGTAACTAGCAGTTATATAAGTGAGGAGCTAGCACAACAAATATAGCAACACGCCATAACAATTGCATGGCCAAGTAGCATCATAGACCAAACAACAATCCTTACCTGTGTGTCACAAAAATAACAGGCCGACTACCAATCCCAGCAGCCACCAACTTCCTCAGCAGCATAGAGCTCACCTCCTATAAAACAAATAGGATCTTGAGTGAGAAAACCAACAAATAATCAGTAACATGAAAAGAGCTACCAACATATATACCATTGGACAGAAAATCTTGAAATCTAGAATTATGTTGGGAAATCACTGCAGTTGCACAACGAAAATTTCCAGCAATAACAAAAAAAGGGTCCACATATGCCACTACAAAGTTCAAAATAGTTGGAGTGTAACTTGTAATGTTGACAAGCTGGGTCCAGGTCCACATATAAAGGGTATATAAGGGCACACAAAAACCCAAGGTTCTTTAGCTGGCCCAGGAGAGAATGCCGAGAAGGAGGCGACCATGCACACAGCATAAAAAGCTAAAGAAATCTCAGAAGTTACCTGAAGAGGCAAGCTGGCTCCAGTCCATTGAGTCAAATTTGTCTGCGTAAGTTATTCGAAATTGGTAAGGACGTTGAAAAGTTTAGAACCAACAAAGTCGGTATCAACAGAAATATTCAAATGTACCAGAACAACTCAAATATAGAAAGGGGCCAATACAGATATCTAATTGTGAGAAGAATAGCAGGTGAAGGAATTGACGAGACATCAAAGACAAACCTTGTATTTGACTCTAAAAAAACGTGCTTGAGGAAAATCTGCCGCAAGCCATTCTCTTGGCCAGCATGTGCCCTCTTTCCCAGCATCCTCCTCGTCAATGCTTTCCACCAAACCAGCTTTGGTAGTTGATGATTTGTCATCAGCAATTCGCCATGAGTTCAATGGGCCACCACGAAGGCCATGGACAAACACAACATCCATCAAAGGGACATTTTTGGATGCAACTTCGGCATCATCTACAGAGTTCGCAGTTTCAGAGCCAGGATCTTCAATACTTCCATCTTCCTTACAATTATCTCTTGAAACTCTTAAAATCCCAAAACCACTGTTGTCCACATGAACTTCAAGAGGTAACTCTGGATTTAGCAAGAATAGTGCATCTCCAAACTGAGGACAGTTTCTTTTATACTCACTTTCTGAATCAGGATATTCATCAGAGGGTTTTCTTGCATTTGGACTCTCGGAACAGAATATGTTCAATAATGTTAACCTGCAGTAGCTTTTTAGTTTTAAATCATTGCAAGAAATTCGCCCACTAGCACAATCCTCGAGCCATTTGCACCATACATCATCAGAAATAATTTCCTTCTTTGAATTGGGTAGAAGAGAGAGAATGGTAAGCAGCCGTCCAGCATGCCTTCGGATATGTGCTGCAGGAGGAACCCGTACACTTGAGGGATTAGTGGTAGCATCAGTTGATGAAACATTAGATGCCACATTCTTGTCTTGCACTTCTCGAATACGAGATGCATCGTATGCTTCAATTGCAGCAAGTTTCTCATAATCATCACTCAGGAGGATGTGCCTCAACAAGGGAAGAGCTCCTAGATCAGCTATTCTCTTTTGGCATGCACCATCCTCGGAACAAAGCTCAGCTAGAGCTTTTATTCCCTTGAGCATTGCTGATGCTGAGTCAGCAGAACTTGGGTGGATTCTTTTTGTTCATATTCTTTAGAGCTGTAGCAAATGGCTCAAGAGATAGAAAATCAGAAAGTGGCCCGTTATCTTTGTCAACAGACCCGGGCTCATAATTCGATTGGGCGCTTGCTAATTTAACAACAGCGCTACCTAATTGATTCAAGACCTGAGTTGCAGTGGAAGCATTATGGTAATCAACTGGATTATGTCAGTAACACAAGTTGTATTAGGATGGTAGGATGAAGAACAAGAATGTGAACAAAAAAGGAAGATATATACCAGTATAAAGTCATTAGGATTATCAGGTAACACGATAAATTCTACAATGCAGATCAAGTTTATAATGTAGCATGGTAATATTAGATCAAAAAACATGACAGCAGGCACATGCCTACATGTATTGACAATAAATGATGGTACAATTAAATGATAACTTTGTTACAAAACCAACATTCTAATCAAAAAAGGGATTCTGGTTTCCAGTCAAAGACTGAATGTTTTAAAGAACATGCCTATGTCCACAATGAGACAACTCTAACAATCTATTATAATTATATAAAGAGCTATGACTGTTACGTTTTTATAATGTGTACTAACAAACTACCAGAAAAAACATCGTCAAAGGTATTGCAAACTGTGATGATGTCTAAGGCAATATCGATATATTGAAACAGTACTTTTGTCAGAGCTAGAACCTATCCATTTTAATGCTGTGACTGTATGTATACATGCTTAGGATCTTTAAAATGTACCAAACACTCATCCAAAATATATTTTGTACTGATATAAAAGAAATGAGTACCTTCACTTTCTCTGGTTCAGGCTGTGTGGTTCCTTTTGAACTTTGGGCCTTGTTGTCTCCAAGAATCTCAGAAAGGACAAGAGCTAACCATCCCTGAGAAATTGGCACAGAAGCTGGACCATAATCTTCAAGTATGCATGAAAGGATTTTCACAGCTGTAAGATGTGTTTTATCTGAGGAATTGCCTCTGCCTAGTGGTGTTCCAGTGCCCATGTACTTTTGCTGCGTTCCTTGCAAGGTAGTCAAGTCCGATGAAGAGGACACGTATAAGCAGAGGTATTAGATGTGTTCCAATTTTGTCTTTGAGCCTACACTTCGTCAGCGCCGCATTAACAAGATAGTGAGGAATTGATGTTTGTGTCATATGACATCTTGTATGATTTTTTTGTTTTGTAACAATTGCATTTTTTTGCAGACCCCTCCACCGCTCTGTGATTTTGAGCAGTGGATCGACACTGAGATCAAGCGTGAAGACAAGGAATGGATGCAGAACTGTTGCAGTGGGAGGCAGAGGACAAGGAGATGATGGAGAAGAGACGCGGAGAGGAGGCTGCAAAAAAGGAGCACAAGGAAGAGGAGGAAAGGAGGCGTGTTGTTGCGTACAGGGAGGAGAGGGAGAAGAAGCTTGAGCGTGCACGCCGAGCGAAAGCAGCAATGGAGGAGAATCCCGATGCCTGAGGAAGGGAAAGTGGCCTCGTTGCACTCAGTAGTCTCCATTACTTGCTAGTTCTATGGCTTATTCATGAACAATGTTATTTGCTGTTGGACTTTTCATTGTGTTGTCATGTAATGCACTTTAAGTATGGGCATGCTTAGGTCATGTACTGCGTTATTTAGTTTGTCGGCACGTACTTCTAGTATTATTGTGTTGTTTAATGTGTCATAATATTGGACTTTTTATTATGTAGTTGTTTTCATTATTTGTGGTCATAATATTCAGTTTAATATTGCGGACGTAGTAAAATGTGATCAGGTGTTGCAAACAAAATCTAACGAATTAGAACATTATATAAATCAACACACAAAACACATGAAATGGCATGTGAGAACATGTACCGAACTAATGTACAGAGGTCCTGAACTAAATCTAACACACCTTAGGTAATTGAAGCGAACAACAAGCATAAGAAATGGCATGTGAACGGCCGGGGTCGCTGGAGTGAGCGCCTATGCGCGCGGCGGACGCAGTGAGCCGGGACGGACGAGGCGGTGCGGGCCGGGAGGGGCGGCGTGCTGCCCGACACGGGCGAGGGCAGGCGATGGGCGGCCGACCGACGCCCGCGCTCGCGTGGCGGCGGCGCGAAGGGGCTGGGGCATGGCGGCCGACACACAGCGGGCGACGGGCGCGGGCGCCGTAGGGGCCATGGACGGCGGCGGCGGGGCGGCGGCCAAGCAGCTGGCGACGCCAGCTCTCAAAAGCGTAGAGAGAGGAAGAGAGAAAGGAAGGGAGGGCCCATACGTAAGACAGGGCTTGGCCCCAATAACCACGGCGCCAAGATCTAAGGCGCAAGCTCGGCGTCAAGGTGCCTGCCAAGTCACCGCCACGTCTGCGCCGAGTCCAAGACCTAGGCGCAAAAATCTATGGCGCCGAGACGTGTAAGCTCGGCGCCACCAACGATAGCGCCGAACTAAGGGTCCCGATTTTAAAAGCATAACTCTAGGGGCATATTTGTGAATTTTTTTTCAAAAAGGGCTAAAAAAAATCCGCGATATGGCCACCGGGGCATAACTGCTGAGGGCAACATGTCGGGGAGACGCAGCCCCAGGGTGCGACCACCGTGGCTCGCAGCCGTTGGGGCGCATCGGGGCTCGTAGCCTCCAGGGCATGGTCATCGGGAAGATAGAGGAGGAAGAAAGAGAGAGAGAGAGGGCCACGAGGAGACGAGAAAAGTATAGAAGAAAAGAAAAAGATAGTATAATTATTTTATTCTTTTAGTGGAGGAGCTATTTTATCGAACGGATTTTAAAATAGCTTTAGATTGGCCAGAAAGCTGACCGTGAAGTTGAAAAAAAATAACTTCACTATGAAGCCGTGTTGCGCCAAATGAAGCCGTAATTTCCTCGTCGTTCAGCCTCCATATGCATACGACGAATGGATACTGTACCAGTACATTGGACGTGCAACTGCTGACGGCTCTCCTGGACCCTCAGTTCCTCACCGTGCACCATTGCATTGGAAGATGACGGTACAACACGTATACATATATGTCAGCTAGATCTCTACCGCTACGAAAGCCATGCAATCATTAAAATAAGCTAAGGGCATGTTTGTTTCCTTACTAAGACCTTATTTAGTTGCTTCTGACTCCTAACTGTGGCACTATACAAAAAGAAGATTTCTCGTCATATCAAACTTGTAGTACATGCATGGAGTATTAAATGTAGACGAAATCAAAAGCTAATTGCATAGTTAGGTTGTACTTTTCGAGACGAACGTTTTGAGCCTAAATAGTCAACGATTGGACAATTATTACTAAATACAAACGAAATGCTACAGTGTGCTAAAGTGACGCACAATGAATCCGGCGGCGCCGGATTCGGCCAACTAAACAATGCCTAAAACCGATGACTAAACTTTAGTCATTCATGTTCGTTTCTAGTGACTAAAATTAATTAAAGGTTATTAAAGCAGTTCAACAAAGACCAATCTACCCCTAATGAATACCCAAATCAGGGTGGGGACCAGTAATAACGAGGGGCAACCCTTATCCACTAGGCACTTTAGCCCACTTTTAGCTACTCTTGGATGATTAATGTGACTAAACTAATTTAGCCCCTTTTTAATCTGTTTGTTTGGTAGTTTAGTAGCTAAAGTGACTAAAGTTTAGTAGCTACTCCCTCCATCTAGAAAAAACATAATTTTAGCTTTCAACCTGGGCACAACATGTATCCAGGTTTAAAGTAAAATTGTGTTTTCTTATGCACAGAGGAAGTAAACTTTAGCAGGGAACCAAACCGGCCCTAAGGTAGCTTTGGTACGTTGTTACTCTTAAGGATCGGTTGTGTCTGTCCATCTCCAGCGTCTCGGCACGGCGACATGACACCTACAACTACAAGGTACTAGGAGTACTTGGTAGTGTAGTAGCCTGCTGTGCTGTACGTACGGGACGGAGGACACAACACACCAACTCCTGCTTGGGTTTTCCGGACTCGACCGGCTTCAATTCCATCGCTGCCATGTTCCTCCAACAGCTCATATTCTGAGCTAGCTACTGTTCTCACACGCCGGGATCGGGAAATACAGATGGGTCCCATTGAATAAAAAAATTACTCCTCAACCTTCCCGTGACCCTTCGCGTGAGAAACTTCTGATGTCCAATTTCCCTCGCGAACCTTATCACATCCACCGCCGCTGCCACCCTAAATTTCCCGATCCCGGCCACCAAATCCGGCGATTAAGCCCAGCTTCGTCACTCCCATGGCATCGATTGCTTACTTCCCGTGCTTATCTGCTCAATTGCGTATTTCTCGTGCCTAACCATAGCCTCTGTGCTTAGATCCGGATCGAAGGGGATGGCTAGTGTGCGTCGGGTGGACGTCCGGCCGCTAAGGCAGCGAGGAAGCCGCAGACGGGCGGCCTGATAGGCGGACATGGAGCGTGCCGTGGGTGGACGAGCGGCCGGACACGAGGGCAGCGAGCGTGCTGAGGGCGGACAACCCATCACAGGAAGCGAGCTCCTGGACAGTGGCCGGCTGGTTACGCGCAGATAGTGCTCGGCGAGCGGAAGCCCAGACGCGGGGGTGGCAAACTTGTGGGGGACGGCGACCAACGGCCACACACCACACTGCAGCATCGAGTACCAGGTAAAAAATCATGACCTGCCTCCCTACAATTAGGTGATTTTTATTGATTTCTTGGCGCTAGAGGTCTTGCTCGAGGCAAGTTCATTGCATGTAGCTTTGATTCAGAGTTTGCAGCCGCAAAGGCTACTAGTACTTGACTTCGTACTAGACAGATAACAATTAACAATGTGGTTTAATATGTATTCAACAAAAAATGGAGAAGGATGAATCTGGATTTTTAGGACAGAAGCATTTCCATGACACAAGATTGTTTGCAACTAACTCAACTCATATGCTAGTACACGTAGAAAGCAAATACTTTGAAGCATGGAAACGTACATGTAAATCTTATAAATGATGCCTGAATACAAACTACTGAAGTACAAAGTCTATAAAT